CCACTCACCTCAGCCTCCCAAAGGCGCGGGATTACAGACTGAGCCACCAAGCCCGGCTAGCCACCACCATCTTATACTGAAGGACTTAGATGAGATGTGGATGAGTGGCTTCCCCTTCTGATGAGTGACATCCTCCGCTGAAAGCTCATGCTGTTCCCATGAATCTTTGGACTGTCAGAGGCAGGTGGCAGGGGAGGAGCTAGGGCTTGATGTTGCCACAAGGCCCCTAAGCCACATAGCCCCAGATAAGCCATGTGGCTTTCTTGGACAGTATGACTCTGAGAGCGCTCAGCAGCTGCATGTGCCTGCACCTGAATCCTTATGGCTCCAAGCTGGTACATGGTGGGGTCATCCCAGCACTTTCGTAGCGGAAAACACCATGGGCAGATAGGAAGGAGCTAGATAAACGGTGTCGGGTGACTGACCAAATTCGTACACCAAGTGTTGAGAGGTTTGTTTGGAGAGAAAACCTGGCTGCGCTTAGTGGCTCAGCCTGTAATCCCAGCACTTTGGGAGGCCAAGGGGTGTGGATTGCCTGAGTCCGCAGGTTCGAGACCAGCCTGGGCAACTTGGTGAGACCTCATCTCTACAGTATATTAAAATTTTAGCTGGGTGTGGTAGCGTGCGCCTGTAGTTCCGGCTACTTGGAAGGCTGTGGCAGAAGGATCGCCAGAGCCCAGCAGGTCGATGCTGGGGTGGCCGTGAGCGTCCCACTGCACTCCAGCCTGGGCAACTGAGACTCCAACTCAAAAAAAAGAAAGAAAACCTGTAGCATTTTATTTACATGCTGCCCCCTGGTGGTGACTCTCGCTATGTTGCTGTTCTGCTTAAAAACAGCCATTGCTTATTTTGTAGAGACCACTGTAAACTGCATGTCTGGTTGGCCATGTCATCTCTGGGAACCAGTGTCACAGAAACCTGACATCATCCCATTTGAATCTATTCAGGAGTCATATAGTAAATATGTATGTTTGGAGCAATTTAGCATGTAGTTTAACAACTTTGAAAAATTAACCTTTTAAGGTATGTTTTTGTCTTTGAAAAATAGAAATAACATCACCCGCCTCATGAGATCATTTTGAATGTTAAGTGCATATTGTATATGAAACTAGATTAGCACTTGTATTCAAAATGTGTTTTCTTATGCATGTTACAAAAAATCAATCTGAGATTATCAGCGAGTAGAGGGTTGGTGGCCCCCCTCTCTAAACTGCTAAAACACTGGGTTCGTGCCTTCCCCTTCTGGTCTACCTTTGCACTTCTTTCTAGTAAGCGTTTGTCATTCTTCGTATGTTATAGGCATACTGACCAAGATTAAGCTGATGAAGTGTCATGGCATAAAGGGGTTAATGGTCCTGGATTGGAATCTTTATGGAAATAAAAAATGAAACAAGGATTTATATTGATCCCAAAATGAAGATTTGATTACGCATCTATGTGCATAGCCATTAGACTGCCACTGTGTTGTAGAAATGACACATGAAAAGGCGTTTAAAATGTTCTTGTGGGGCAAGTTACGAGCATATACTCATGAGACATTTAGGAGGGAGCTCAGGAGCACTGGGTTACATCGCACTGACGATCCGAGTGGCAGAGAAAGCAAAATCAGGAGAACTACAGACCAAAGGAGGCTTTATGGAGAAGGCTGGACTAGAGCAGGATGGATAGAGTCTAATGAGAAAAGACATTATGAAAGAAATGAGGTGAGTGAAGCCAGACGTAGGAATGAGCCCTTCAGTATCTCATTAAGGAGATGGATATGGTTGGAGTGTATATTAAGTAACAGAGGAAAATACTGGATAAGTAGGTGGCACTACCTACTGAAAGGCCACAACATTCTGGAAGAGGAAGGTAAGCTTGGATTAGCCAGAATAAAGAACAACTAACGTTACGGAACACTGACCATGTGCACTGTTCTGAGACTTTATGTATTGTCCACTTAACCCTACAACTACCTAGAAAATAGACACTATACCTTACTTTTTGTTGGTGATAAGGCCTCAGGCAGGTAATTCATTTGATCAAGGTTCAACAGCCGGTAGAACCAGGATTTAAGCCCAGGGAGTCCAACTCTAGAGTCCATGCCCTTATCTGTTAGAGTTTCCCATCCCACTTTCTCCAGAGCCGCTTCCCTGTCATCTCATGGGTACGATGTGGTCACTTCTGATTTTTCCAGTTTCCTGTAACAGCCTTCCCTGTCACTGTCACTCTCCAAGGTCATCATCTACACTATAATCAGAATGAGCATTCCCAAATATCAAGCAACACTTGGCTGGGTCTCTCTTGTATGTCAGTGTAGAGTTCCTACCACACACAGGAAACCCAAAGTAAGGTAGGTTTAAACACAGAAGGTGTTGACTGCCTCATGTGACAGTCTAGGACTAGAGAGGCAGGTCCTTGGTGTCATCAGTGACCCACACTCATCAGTCATTCATGGCCCGCATCCCGAGGAGTACTTCCATCCTCCAGGTCATCTGGAATCTACACCTGTCAGCTAGAGCTCCCACTGTCACACCCACCCCCACCCCACGGCATAAGAACTATAGACCAGAAGGAGATGGGAGGGCACAGCCTTGGTCGAGCTGGGCGTGCACTTTCTAGGCCACCTTCCAAGAGGCTCCCCACTGCCTTCCCTACACATCAGAGCCACAGGTGACCACATAGCTTCAAAAGGGTCTTGGGAATGTCACCTGTACTTTAGACACATGGCCAGCTCAAGTAACGCAGGGGTTCTGTTGCCAGGGGGAGCCAGCAGCCCTCCACAGTCCAGCATGCTTGCCAGACAGCAGCTACGTGACATGACTACTCCCTCTTCAACACACAGCAGGGCTTGTTGGGGGAGTTCTCTGGAGGGTGAAATCAGGATTTAGTGACATAAGATTTAAGGGCTTCTACCACCTGGCCACAGAGAATACCCACCCAACTTCTCACCTCTCGCTTGGTGTTGCTTCCTTTCCGCTTAAGCCACTCTAAATCCTTTGCTGTCATATGAGGGGTTGTCTTTGCACACACTGCTCTCTCTGCCAAAATGCCATTCTCCCTCTTGCAAGATCAGTCTATTCTTTCACGTGGGTCAACCTCATAAAATTGTATACCCAGCTTGGTAAACCTTTAATCATTTAAGACCCAGATCAAAAGCCACTTCTTTAACATTGTATTTAACCAACAATAAGAGTACAATAAATATTTACAGGGTGCCTATGCTGGGCTAATTATTCTCTCCTAAGTTAAGCAAGAGAGTGACACCTTCGTTGTTTTTTTTGTTTTGTTTTGTTTTTTGACTTGGAGTCTCACTCTGTCACCCAGGCTAGAGTACAGTGGCATGCTCACTGCCACCGCTGCCTCAACCTGCTAGGCTCAGGCAATCCTTCTGCCTCAGCCTTCCAAGTAGCTGGAACGTGCTACCATGCCCTGCTAATTTTTTGATTTATTGTAGAGATGTGGTCTCGCCAAGTTGCCCAGGCTGGTCTCAAACCCCTGGGCTTAGGCAATCCTCTTACCTCAGCCTCCCAAAGTGCTGCGATTACAGGCTTGAGCCACCACGTCTGGCGAGTAACACGTTTTTTGACATGTCTCATGAATGTCAATAGGGCAGAAAGATGAAGAGTGGATTAATGGATGGGCTAAGAAAGAAGCTGATGGGGACTGGGGAGGCAACTTAGGGATTCAGGACTGGAATGGGAAGAGCTTGGTCCTACCAGAGAAAGAAGTTAGTGAGGAGCTGGACACAGGATGGAGACACTAAAGACAAGATGACGCTGAAGTCCTCAGGTCCAAACGGTGGGACACGCATGGTAATACTGTGTGTGGTGGAGTTGCGTGCATGTAAAAAGGAGTGCAGGCATGTTATGGACACAGGGAGCTTGTTGTAACTATGACATCAAAATGGAAATGGTGTGTCATATCTTTTGTCTCTGATAAATTTTTTTTTTTTTTTTTTTAGTTGGAGTCTCACTCTGTTATCCAGGCTGGAGTGCAGTGGCTTACTTACAGCTACCACAGCCTCAACCCACTGGGTTCAGGTGGTCCTCCCACCTTAGCCTTCCAAGTAGTTGAAAAAACAGGCATATGCCACCATGCCAGGCTAATTTTTTTATTTATTGTAGAAATGAGGTCTTGCCAAGTTGTCCAGGCTGATCTCAAAATTAGCCAGGTGTGGTGGCACATATCTGTAGTGACTACTTGGAAGACTGGGCAGGTTAAGATCGCGGTGGCCATGCTGGGCAACAGTGAGACTCCAACTCAAAAAAAAAAAAAAATCATGTGTTGTTGAGTTAGCCTATGAAGCACAGCATGACATGGATGATCTCTTCTGGATATTTCAGGGTAAAATGATGGCATGCAAACACTGCAGTGACATTTTCAGCAAAGAGGGTTCTTTGAAACTAGCAGCCATCAACAGAGAGGACCAGGGAATAGAAACGGATGATGAGAAGGACTCGCTGAAGAAGCAGCTGAGGGAGATGGAGCTGGAGCTGGCACAGACCAAGCTGCAGTTGGTGGAGGCCAAGTGCAAAATCCAGGTGGGTGACAAGGGAAACAGCGGGTCAGAATGCACCTGCCTAGGCTGGAATCGTGAGAAGGCACTGTGGACAATAGACCCCTTTTCTGTCCATAAATGAATGTGTCCTGCATAATCACATTTTATATCATGTATATAAACATAATCGTAAATGAAATGTTACTAATTGAAACCATGTCTTGTGAGAACCTAAGCCTGTGCTTTTTTAGTTTACCCTGAGAATTTTTGCTATGGCCCTTTCACACTGAATGTGGTTACCTTAATAGCTGATTCTAAAGATGGAAAGCCAAGCCCCCTGTGCTGCCCCCTCTCCCCTGTCCCCACCAGCTGAGCACTGGTGACACTCATTCTTTTCCTCTTTAGCTGATTTTCCCAAATCCATTTCCCCATTCTCTCCATCTTGAAGGATAATATAATTAGAAGAACAGTCCTGGCCTCTGAGGAGCTCTCCTCTTCATTTTACCCTTGACCCTCACCTACCACCACGTCTGCCGTGGCACCAACCTTCATCACCCCAGATCTCCTCAGCCATGTGTCTGCTCTGACCTTGGACGTCTTCAAGAGCAAAGCCATTTCTTTGGAAGGGAAACTCACTCATGTTTACACTCTCAGGACAAATTCACTCTACCCATATGTTTATATTTATTTGTAGTTTCAAACATGTTATCTCAGATTGCAACCTAAACCTAAATTTAGACCTGAATTGCAGGGAGGAAAAAGGGAACAAAATGAGGTTTCATTTCGTTCTTTAGAAAAAGCACACATTCTTGTTTCTGCACTCATCTTTTTCCTTGTATTAAGATATTAAGAAGCCAATTACATCTCTCTTGGATTTTGTGGGAGGAAAACTAGCCACAAAGACCTGGCGGACTCCAAAAAGTTGTCCTCTAATTTTTTTGGGGGGGGGCAAAGAGAAAACTTTTCTATAACTTGGATGATTTTCTTTCTTTAATTAGGAACTTGAACATCAGAGAGGAGCACTTATGAATGAGATCCAAGCTGCAAAAAACTCTTGGTTTAGCAAAACCCTGAACTCTATCAAAACGGCCACGGGCACCCAGCCCCTGCAGCCACCACAGGCTGTCCAGCCACCCAAGGAGAGCACATAGCTCCAGCCTCACCCGAGCACAAGAGCACAACGATCAAAGCCGAAGAACTGGGAGGATTCTTCTGGGGTCCCTCTGAAAGAAAGTCAAGGAGGCCAGAACACAAGCCAGAATCTTTCTGTAGCTCTCTCTTGTAGGACACTTTTCAAAGGGACATTATTTAAACCATTCTGTTTTTCTGTTGAATATCTACTTTCCAGCTCCTTCATGGAAGGCCATGTTCAGATCCATCATAGTATTCCACATTATTTTATATGCCTGATGTTTTGTTGGAAATAAGTAACTCAGAACTAAGTGCTTTTTATTTAGAACTAATTATTCATAATTATTTTTATCTTACATAAAAATGGAGACATCTGTTATTCCAAGGTTGAAATGATAGGAAGCTCTTTGTCACAGGAAAAAGAAAATTGAAAACTAAACCTCTGAACTGCTCAGATAAAGCACACTTGGGCTTAGTTACAACCAGTGTCAGGTTTCCTCCTGAAACTGATTCCCAGGGCAGCAATAATCCTGTCCCAAGGGAAGAACAGACCAGGGATTACACAGTCCCCAAAGATTATGGGTTGATTTTATTTCCTGTTGGGTACATCTGAAAAGGAAGTGGCAAGTACTGTGAGGTCAACGGGTTATTAACAACACACTAGGCCAAAGGACCTAAGATTTGGATAAATGCAGGGTAAAATCATGTGAACTCCGGTTTCTTTTTTTTTTTTTTGAGTTGGAGTTTCACTCTGTCGCCCAGACTGCAGTGGCCACTCCTGGCCACCACAGCCTTGACCTGCTGTGCTCTGGCGATCCTTCCGCCTCAGCCTTCCAAGTAGCTGGAACTACAGGCGTGCGCTACCACACCCGGTTATTTTTTGAATAATTGTAGAGATGAGGTCTTGCCAAGTTGCCCAGGTGGGTCTCGAACCCCCGGGCTCAGGCAATCCACTTGCCTCGGCCTCCCAAAGTGCTAGGATTACAGGCTGAGCCACTGAGCCCGGCCTGAGCTCCGGTTTCTAACAAGTTCTTCTGAGAACTCCTCATGGGACTTGCAAGTTCCTCAATATGCCTGAGTGTGAACACAGACGTGACTTTTGGCAAATGTAGTTAGAGATGGATATTGTGACTGGCAAGACTTAGGGAACCTTCTAACTGGAGAAGCCTAGAAAGGCCTGGGTCCAGCCTGGTGCTTAGAGTGGAGTACAGACCCAGCGACAGGATTGCATTTAATATTGACATACACTGGCTGAGGAAACACTAATATACTGGAACTCTGTTAAAGGACTTAGTATTGGAATGGGACATATGAGTCAGTTTCACATCATTTTAGTTTAGTGATGGGCAACTTTTCCTGAGTTCTGTAGCTCCCTAAAAATGTGTCCATAAGGAGACAAATGCATTTGTTACATTTCTGATTGAGCATAAAACCTTTATAGAAATACTTGTCTCATGAAAAGGTAAGTTATTGTTTAAAAATTGGTGGAAATATTTTTTCAACTATATTTAACATGGCTCTATAAATAGTCCTGGCAGGAAAATCTTTGGTAAGAGCAAAACTAATTTTCTTATTTTCTAAGCTATTTTGGAGGCCTCCAATCCTTCCCCACCAACCAAACTACTGTTAGATATGTACAGTAACATTGTTGGTACCCAGCTTTGGCTTCATTGTGAAACATAGTGTTTGCAGAGAATCAAATTCTGTAGTGCCAGAATGAGTCTCATCGGTGCCATATGTTGCAGTTACAAGTAACACTCTTAAAAGTAGGTATCAAATAAGAGCTGTCTCAACCTAGGAGGATGCACCAGTTGCTCATGGTGCATCCTTTAAGTTCTAAAAGGTGAAATCCTCTTCATGTGTGTTTTTATCATCTACCACTCATACAACTGATAGGGTTGTTATCTGTTACACTCATCAGATAATATTTTTCTTACAGAATCTTTTTTGTTGTTCTAAGGTATATCATCATTACATTTATTTCCTTCTTACCAAAAAGGAAAATAACTCAGCATTCCAAGAGTCCATGTTGATTTTGACTAATTCTCTACGTGGTAGTTTAGATAAGCAATTTTAATTTTTTTGTAAAGTATTAACAGCTAGAAAATTTTATCCTGGCACTTGTTTCTGTAAGTCATTTAGTATAGTCTGTTCCCCCATCCTGTTACTTTATGCTTTGATTCCACAAAGCCCTGTACAAGTTGCCTTATCAAATGGCCAGCTAAATTAAAGATATTTTCTGCTGTGAATTTCATAGTTCTGTACAGAGCTTGTTTAACTTCCAAAAATAAGTACATTCAATAGAAGGCCTAAAGTGTATAACTTTCCTTAAGTAGTAGGTGAGGGAGAAATCAAATGGCTTTGAGTCGATTCCTTATCTGTAGACCTGGTTTAGTTTGATAGCTCTTTCCTTTCTCTTCTTTAAACAAAATCATCAAGTGCATACATCCCAAAAGTTTGATAAATCTATCTTTGAGTTTTCTTTTAGCTCTTTCAGAGGATTACAAGGCCAATACATAGTTGTTTTTTCCTCCAGCTCTTATGTCATACTTGGATATGCCTAATGGTGCCATAGTGTAAACTATCCCTCACTACAGTGCTTTTGAGTCCAGAGGAATGGTAATTAGAAAGAAAATTCAAAACCTGGTATGTGGCATGCTTGTTCACACACTATGCTATAGTACCTATATTCCACGTGTCCTTTACTGTCTGTTCTCTGAAAACTCATGCATCGCAGCATGAAGTGACCATCGTTTTGACTTATTTTAAGATATTTGAGTATTGCAACTCTTCTCCTGAATTTTATTTAGAAAGAGGTCAACCAGGCAATTTTCAGGAAACTTTCAAACATTCTAGCATTTTTCATCCTTTCCTAGGAGGGACTCTGTAGGCATCATTTCTTTAAAAATGTAGTATTTACAGTATCTGAAAAGTGATTGTTTCTCTTTTCATTAAATTCTGTATAATAAATAAGTGAATAGATTTCAACTTGATAATTCAGTTCATTAGCTCTTATATCTTGAGACTCTTTAACACCTTCTTTAAAGCTGAAAGAAACCAAGCTGAATTTTGCAGTGCATATGTCTGCTAGCATCCCACATCCTGAGGCATGTCACAATTTGGTTATATTTAGTCACATATGATTTAATGCAAAGAAATTCTCAGTTACTTGATGTTCTGTATATGAGTGCCTATCAGAAACACCAACAGGAATGCCACACAGGTCTGTGACCTTGCTTTCCATACAGCCAGTAGTTCTCTCCCTCTCTCCCAGCTGTTAAATGAGTACTTGCTTCTTCACTGGCTTTCTCAAATGTCCCAGGTACAGTAGAAAAGCACCTGTGTATGAATGTTGGGATATTTAGTTATTATATATCTGGTTTCATTAAAAAAAAATGTGTCTTTTCCTGCTGAGCTTTAGTATTTCTTTTTCTCCAACCCCTCTTCCATTTTCTTATAACTAGTGGCTTCATTTACTAGCTGAAGTGAGAAAATCAAGATAACACGGATATTTGGGCAGAGAAGATAGAATTAGATCCTGAAAAGAGTCAGTCAGTCACCTAGGATGAGAATCACATAAGTAACTAATGTAGGGGATTGGGCTTTCTTTTCCTTTAGCTGAAATCTGTCTACTAGCTGTTCCACCAACTCTGTGCATCAAACACTAAGGTACGCCTTAGCATGGTAGCTCACACCTATAATCCCAACCCTTTGGGAGGCTGAGGAGGGAGGATCACTTGAAGCCAGAAGCTTGAGATCAGCCTGGGCAACAAAACAAGACCCTGTCTCTACAAAAATAATAAAAAACAAATATATAGAAAGGTTAGCTGGGTGCGGTGATGCATCTCTGTAGTCTCAGTTACTTGGGAGGCTGAGGCAGGAGGATCACTTGAGCCCAGGAGTTTGAGGCTGCAGTGAGCTGTGATCATGCCATTTCACTTCAGCCTGGGTGACAGAGTAAAACCCTGTCTCAACAGAAAACACTAAGGTAGCTGTCTGATTTTAGGACTTCTTTAAGGGGAAGAAAATAACTTTTTAAACAAACTAAATGCTTTCTCTTGAGAGAGAGCACTTTTGATTACTTAGCAAAATGATTCTATAACTTACCTTAAAAACACTAAAATAGCTCTGAATCTTTTGCTTCATTTACAAGTAAATGAGAGAATGAACCAGTTCTGTTGTACGATTTGAACACTATGAGGTTTTTGTGTGAACGCAATTGGTGGAATTTTATAAGAAGTGTCCCTGCCTTTTGTTTGCCTGGGTACTATGCAACCCAACACACCCTGAGATTTCGAGATGTGGCGGTCTAAGCCCAAAGGCCAGAAAACAGCTCTATGGTCCATGTTGCCTGCGACCAGATACAAGACTCTTTCTTGTCACCATGCTGATGGTCACATTGAGTTAGAAGTGCCCTGAAATACTCCTCCTCTCTCATAGTGACTTCATTAGCAAATTCCTTATTTTTCAAAAGCTACCAAGCTGAGGACTCCAGTTGGGCTTGCCTCCATGGGAGACACCGATGCTGGGTTGTAGTAAGGGAAGTGGACACACACGAGGTTTCAGTGACCACAGTCAGCTGTCTGGCATTCCTGCCTCAGTTTCCATCTAAAAGACTGCATGTCAAGCTCTCTTCCAAATGCATTTGCCACCTGCTATAAAAACATTTCATCCATGTATCCCACTGTCCCTGCCCTATCCCTGGCTTACCATAAGTGAAATTTTGAAAAGCTTAAGAAAAACGGAGTAGAAAATGAACATTTTCCTTTTTCATTGGCAATTAGTTAACATGTACTTTCCCCCATTAAACTGTAACTTTTAATGATGACATGTATGGGATAAAATATAGGAACTGAATGAGAATATAAATGCATCAGAAGACTCTGGTGTCATGGAAGCACAAAAATAAAGCTGGAGATGGTCACAGAATCCAAGATGTCCAATAGCCTTTTGCTTCAGTTTCTCTGGTTTTTGTTTTTGCGTAATGCATGGATCTTAGTTCAAGTGAGGGAAGTTTCTCAGTCAGCTTTGCTCATTTCTTCCCAACTCCTACCTTTCCCTTACTGAGGAGGTAGTAGACTATCTATTTTTATGAATTCTATTATTTTGCCCATAGCAGCTCTAGTGGAAACAGGTCCTATAATAAAGGAGTTGATTAGTCCAAACAGTGCTAATTGACTATGAATCTGTGTGATCAACCTCTTCCTCTGTAAACACTGACCAACTAGATGTTTCCATAATTCTATGTATTCTGTATAGTACACTCTATAATTGTAAATGTAATGCTTGTTTAAAAAGAAGTGCAATTTATTGTACATTGTCCCAACAGATGTTTACTTTTATAATCGTTATGAACTTGAACTGGATTAGTATCTTGTTTTCATGTGTGAATGAAGCCTTGCAAAATAAATGCGACCAAGAAGGTAACAAGGTGACTGTTTTTGTGAGCCAGTGATGTTTTCAATGCTTTGTGTTGCCCCTTTGGCCCCATTAAGCAGTAATAAACATTTGTTCTTAAGTCCATATATGTCTTTTTTATTTTTTCTAGTTGACTTTATTCTGATTCATTTGAACCCAGTGTTTATGTAACACTTCTTGCCTGACACTAGACTCCAGTCGACTTAGAAAACATGTACAGAGCATAGCCTGCAAA